GGGCATAAGGAAGCAGGATGCAAGCAGAGTGTTATTGATTGAGAATCAGCTACTTATTACAAGAGTAGTTTATGATGTTTACATACCAAATTACATTAGTTTACTGTGTACACAGAAAACTTTAAGTCTAAATTCAAACATGTAGGGAAGCACATAGAGACCATATGCTTAATACATATGCTTATATATACTTAATATATGTGCCTTGTCCTGCTGGGTGTGCTGGTGCATGCCTATAATCCCAGCGCTTAGGAGGCTGAGGCAGGAGGTTCCCATGAGTTTGAGGCCAGTCAGGGCTATAAAGTGAGTTCAAAAAGACAAATAAAAAGCTTTACCCTTATCCTTTAAGCTTTCTTCTTAATGCTGTGTTCTGTAAGCATTTTCCTTTGGTCCTTCCAATGTAGAATGAATGGTCTCAAGCATACTGTACATCTGAAATACTACAACCGTAAACCTACTGAACAATTCGTGAAAGATGATCACAGTTCTCTGGAGCACTGAACCTGTCTACTAATTCTCAAGTCTCTTCCTGGTCACACTAAGCTCACCAGGCACCAGCTTATGCCCACTCTGGCCAGTGCAGGAAGGTCTGCGTTGACCCCTCATCGACTATTACACCTGTGTAGATGTGGTTACCCAGACTACTTCTTGGCCTCTAAAGAAGCCTGCATTTTGCACGAAGAATAGTGCTTTCAAATGTTCTTTGAATGCCCCAAACCCAACGAACCTGACACTGCTGTTTCTCTATTGCAGTGTGTTTATTCCTTTACAGTCTCTGAATCCTCACATCCACCAACTCCTTAAAAGTTACGCAGTTGAAGGATCTTGGCAACATTTGCTGCTTACAGCAGAAAATACCAACACAAAATGCCTTCAAGATTTTTATGTTCATGACTCTGATGTGAGGATTTTAAGTACAAAATTATCATGAATCATTAAAGCCATCATGCAATTTTAAAATAAGGAGGATTGTTTTGGAAATGTAGTAATGGAGCACTTAAAACAAAAAGGATAATATGGAGATGAAAGAAAAACACAAGTTGGCATCACTGCTGGGTGCTATGGTTTGGAAGTGGTTGGTCTTCTAAAGGTTCACGTGTTGGAAGCTTGACTGCCAGTGTCGGGCATGAAGAGGCGGTGAAGCTGTCAAGAGGTGAGCTTGGTGAAAGATGATCTGGTCCCTGGGGGAGCTGCTCCCAGGAAGGACTTTTCTTTATAAATTCTTCAGCTTCCAGTATTTTGTTATAACAATATAAAATGAAATAATACGTTGAACTAACTTTTCAGAATTTATTTATTTATTTATTTATTTATTTTTGGTCTTTTTGAGACAGGGTCTCACTAGGTAGTTCAGGCTGGGCTTGAACTCACTTTGTAGCCCAGGCTGGCCTCAAGCTTGCAATGATCCTCCCGCCTCAGCCTCCCCAGTGCTGGGATTACAGGCATGTACTGCCACCATAACCGGCCAGAATTGATTTTTTAAATGAGACAATGAGTGAAAATAGCTAAAAGCAATATGAAAAATCATAAATTTTCTTATCCTTTGTCAGATACTATCATTTTACCTTTTATTAAGTTAATGTTTCTCACATCCTGAAATATATGGGAGACCACAATGAAAATATAAAAGAAATATAGAGAAAAGCAGGTAATGGTTGCACTTTCTACTTTCACTTTTTTTTTTTTTTTTTTTTGCTGCTGGGAATTGAACACCGGGCCTTGTGCTTGCCAGGCAGGTGCTGTACCACTGAGCTACACCTGTGGCCCTCTACTTTGGCTTTTTAACTGTTTATATTTTGTATCACTTCTAAGGAAAATGGAAACATTTCAGAAAGGGGCCAAGAATAACGAGGAGTTTCAGTAGACTAAGCCACATGACAAGGAGCTACACTGATACAGAGAGGAGGTCCAAACATTTTACTATATATCCCCTTAAACAATTCAGCATGCTTCATACACACACATACACACACACACACACACACACTAATATTACCCATGTTTGCTTGTACTGACGTATGTTGTAAAACACAGAAGGTTCACAAAATAGAATATCATTAAATGCTGAAGTTAAAAATATACAAATATAACTTCTACTTTTTTAATTCAAAAGACGTTCATATACTCTCTTGAATGAATTGTAGACTGGACTATAAAATTTGACTTTCCAACTTTTCCTTCAGTCTTAAAAGTAAAATTGAATCGACGATTTAAAAAGATTGCTGTTTAATCTAAAATGTTTGAACGCTGTATATGTGCCGTATTTACCCCGAAGCGCATTTCCTTATCCGAACAGCACTTACGGAGAAACGGGGCGTTGCTGTAGTATAGAGTCTGGATACAGGCAGCGTCGCCCTCGTGTGTGGCACGGGGTGGTGAAATCAGGGGCTGCTTTCACAGCTTCTGTGCGACATGGTTTTTGGAACTTGGCTCTCCTAAGATAGGTTGCAAAAGGACCCAACTACTTCTAGGAGTGCGCTTTTCCATGCAGCAGCTGTGCCCAGGCAATCTCCTGCGTTTGTTTTTACTGTAGATACACTGGGTCCAGGATGGGGTTCACTGAACAAAACAGTCAAAAGAAACACTTCACTTTGCGTGTACTTAGCAGCCAATCATAGTTATATATTATTAATATTAACCATAAGTAGGCATTACACAAGCACGATAGACAGTTTTCAAACCATTTCATCTAGATGGCATAACTCTTAAAGACAGGCTCTATCTCACTACGTTATTATTTGTCTCCATCATTATTCCTCAGGCACTGGATGTCTAGCTGTGACTGTTTGGCAGCAGGTTTGATGCGCTCTCTACCTGACACTTTGCCCCTGGTGTGACAACCTCCACCCACTGACTCTCTGCAGTTACCGAAGGACGTCGGCCAAATAGAACACGCTAACAAGGCTGGAGAAAGAAAATCAGACCTTTCAATTCATAGCAGTGCCATCGTAGAAACAATTTTCTTCTCTAATTTCTCTCTATTACCTACTTCACAGAAAGTTTAGCTATCACGGATTGCAACAGAAGGGATTTAAATGACTAGGGAGGAAGCAGGGAGGAAGTCGCCTTAGAAACCGAGGCTTTGCCTGAGAATGCTTATCCTCCTGAAAAAAAAAGAAAATTCCCCATGAAACCTTTTATCCAGGGAAGCTCTGATCTCCTTACAGATTAAATCTGTTATCTAGCTCCTGCTTGTACACGCTTGCGAGCGGGTAAAATTTATCTCTAAAGACTTTTCCAATTCCAAGCCTGACTCAAATTTGGGGGAAAAAAAATAGTTGGACTTATTTTTATCAACATCCTTAACTCCCTCCACCCTCCTACCACCAAAAAAAGAAGAAAGTGGGGGACAGGAGAAAGAGAGGAAGGAGAAAGAAAAGACAGAAAGAGAGAAGCCCTGATCCTCTATTTCCGACTCCATTTCTGGAATGACCTGGCACTGCAAGAAGACAACCGGCTCTGAGGCGTGCCGGTGCCAGCCGGAGTAAAGGTGCACACAGTGTGCGCCCCGAGACCACCCCGGGCGGCCAGAGCGACGCACTTCTCTCCTGCACACCAGATCTGCTGGCCTCACGTCATTTTCCAGTTCTGGGGGACTTCGGATCCCTGTCCTTGGTCGCGAGAAAGCGGAACGAGCCGAGCAGCCGGGCCAGGAGCAGAGACTGGAAAGGGGGATCAGGCCCGGGGCAGCACTTCGCAGGCAGGTTGGGAGGGGCGCGCAGGCGTGGAGTCCCGGCTTCCTCCAGGCGCCTGGGAACAGCTGGCGCTGAACGGGAACATGAGACACACAGCGCCGTAGTTTGGTCCCGGGCCCAGGCTCGGCCGTGGCACCCGGCCACGCGTCTCCGCCAGCCGAGGCCGGCCGGGCTCCCGCACGCGGGGATGGCCCGCAGC